TATATATATAATTTGAATTTTTGGAAGAAAAAAAAGAGAGTGAGTCCTCATGATTCTATCTCCAAAACTCACCTGCATCTTCCTTTACACCCTTACTATTTCCTCGGTCCAGGGTACCATTTCCTCTCCGTCTACTTTTGATCTTGCTCCTCATCATTCTAGTAAGAATTACCTTCCTAAAAAGGAACCCAAGGTTCACTCTGCTCCTGGATAGCCTCTCCACCTCCATGCTTCTGGTGAATTTAGAACAAAATCTAGGCATCTGCCAGCGGCTGCCCCTCTTACTCTCACCCTGTTATTTTTTCATCCCAACAGACCATGCCACCTTTTCGAAGAGCTTTTGAATGTTCTACTCCTGGTACAAAGGTGGCTTTTCCCCACCCAATTTCAGCTCAGCTAGCTCTTGTTACCCTTCAATTTTCAGGTCAAATGTAGCTTTGCCAGAGATGGATTTCATGATCATTCACTTCAAGTAGTGTTCCTGTCCTGGGTTCCTTCCACCACTCATCTTTGAGATGAGATGACCTTGTCTCTCTACTTTATTACTCCCTCCAAAACTGATCTCAAAGCCTTGTATACAAGCCATTCAAGTAGATGCAAGCGAACACACTAAGGGATTTTAAAGGGTCGGCCAACTGCAAACTTTTTAGATGCTTTCTGGAGAGCAACTAGAAAGCCTCCTGTCAAATTATAATAACCAGAGCTAAATGATTTAAAAATATTTAGCACCTAATTGGTTAACATACAAAACCAAAGCCTCATTTCATAAAATAAGCAAATAAAAGATATATTACACTTCCACGGAATAAATAATTCTTTGATGGACAAGAAACCATTAGTTCTATGTTATCAGCAGCCCCAACATTCTTATTGACGGGTATTGTTGGCATTTGGTCCTGGAGGATGGATTACTCTAAAAGAGCTGTTCATAGTTAACCTGGCAGACCTTGAACCATTAATATAATGACATTTTTCTGTTATTCTGTGGGCAAACTACTTTTCATCTAAAAGATATAAACTCCCACAAACTGTCCTTTCAAAAGACTAACTAAGAATGCCAAGGTTTCTTTTCCTAGCAATATAAACTGAGTTGGAGGTGAAACAGTTTTTTAAGGCAACTTTCATTGAACTGCTTTTCTGAAAGTATCAAGTTAGAATATAACCTATAAGTCACTTCTAAATTCCATAATTCTATATGTTTGGCCCTATTGAGAAAAAGCCACAGTCCTTTTCTTAGGCTCACTCATCTATTTTGTTTTTTAATCTACTTTTTAGGGCAGTTTAAGATTTACAGACAATTTGCAATCTATGTTTATTTTAAAATTTGGTTTGGAAACACTAATTCCACAGAAATTAAGCATGTTAGTCTCAAAAGACTGGAGAGTTCTAAAGTCACCAGTGTGCTATTCACCTCATTCAAGTCTAGACTAGTCTCAGCCCTGAGAGGGAGCTGCCCTAGGGTCGTGTGCCTTTCATCTCAAAGGAGCTACACATGGAGACCAGTGGCCAGTCGCCACTTATAAAAAGTGAAAATGACGGCTCCCAAAGCCGACATTGTGACGCTCCCTTGACTAAGCCCCTACTGTCTAAAGGCTGAAGGTAATGGAACCAGTCTTCTAAAAGAGGAGCCTGACTCAGGGCCACAGCTTCCAGCCAGCCAGGATAAATTTGCTAGTGATCGTGCTTTTAATAATGGATTTCTGTGTTCTTATTTCCAATGGCAATATAAACTTACAATTTATACATTTCTTCCCTTCTTCCTGGCAGAGGGAATCAACCTTTTCATGTATTGACCCGAACTATACAAAGCTGACATAAATTACTTCTTAAAACAAACTTTCATTAATACTGGAGCATTTTAGAGACCACAAATTATGCAGTGTTTTCCCATTTCCTTTGTTTTTTCCATGGTCCATGTTTCTGTGCTTGGTTTGGTTACAGTTTGACAGAGGCCCTATATTGGAAAAATGAATGCCTTGACCTCCGTGGCATGGGACAAAGGGGGCCTCATACAGTTCATATTCCATCATAAGCAAGAAGTGCCTGTTCTGTGGACCCAGAAAGTAACGCCTGTCCACGTCTACACGGCTGTAGTCATCTCTTCGCCAAGTTTCCACACAGGTTGAAATGGCTCAGGGCTTCAAAGCCAGATTTTACACTTAATTTAGAAGTTAATAAGAAAATTGGACATTTGCTGGTCAGATATAAAAACTGAGGTTTTTGTGGTAGCATTTGTCTTCAGAACACTCATGTCTAATCAAAGTGTTCAGCTATACATCAGTTTCAAAGTGTTGTAGAAAACACCAGGGGTCTCCCACTGCATCCTTGTAATCCTTCAGAGTCAACCACAGCAACTCTTTAAATGTCTTCTTTGTTCCATTTATATAAAAATGTCTAAAATGCTATTTTCTGATTTATCATTTTTAGACATTATCCACACCCACCCACTTCTTCACACCCATCCTTCCAAAATAGCTACTTCTGAAATTTCAGTTATGTCAATACTGAATGCTTATATTTTCATGACCATGTAAATAAACACAGCTCACAAAACACCTAATTGGTAGACTGTGACAATGTTCCTTATCTTATTTTTCTCCCTGAGTTTATTAATTGACTCATATCTTAATTTTTAATATGCTTTTTGTTCTATGGCTATTTGCTTCTAATAGCTCAGTTAACTCTTCCACATTTCTTCTTTGAGGGTTTTCTTTTTTCCCCTCCCCAAGTGTTCAATTGTATCAGCTAATCTGCTGTTTCTTTGTTTCCTAAAGATTTTCTCAATAGAGTTGTTCTTTAGCATGAGAAGAAATATTAGGAGTGGGCATGGAAGAGCTGGCTTCACCCCTCACCTGAGAGAGATGATCCCAGCTACCTGGACTGACCAACCCGCATGCCACCCAAGCACACATCAAGGGTTTGAGGTGGCACTCCCCAACATCCAGCCCATCGATGACCTGCTGGACTGCATGAAGGGACTGGTCCTGTAGAACCATACTTGCAGGATCTCCATGATTTAGGGCAGCAGCAGAATACTCTGCTGGAGTTTCAGTGAGGGTCCACTATTGATGGTAAACCAGAAGTCACAGGCCTGGAACCCAACCAACAACATATTACACAATGAACATTTGCAAGTAAAGTTGTCTAGACCAGAGTGTCTACTGTGTGATACACCGAAGCTCCCAATGCCACTAAGATGAATGAAGAGGAGATAGAGAGGCGGGAAAGACAGAGGAGGGAATTGTTTTTCTTTTTTCTTTTTCTAACTTTAAAAAAGTTTATTCTTTGTATCTTTCACATCATACCTCTAGATCCCATTCATCTCCCAGTCCCTTCGTATCTGCCCTCTGCCCTTGTAACCTCCCCCCACCCAAATAAGACAAAATAAAATTTAAGAGGAAAAAAAAGAAAGAAAAAACTCATCATGGAAGCTCCAGTGTGACCCAAAGAGTCACACAGTTTACCTTTTTTGTCCATATATCTTTACTTGCAAGTGTTCATTTTTCAAAAAGTCATTGGTCTGGTTCGAGGCCTCAGGTTTCTGCTACTCTAACAATGCTGGGCCATCACTGGGACTCCTCTTGGATATCCTGCTGTTGCTCTGTGTTGCAGAGATCCTGCAGCTTTGGGTCTGCAGGGCCAAACCCTTCATGTGCTCCAGAAGATCATAGATGGGGTAGATATTAGAGTGGCCCAACTCATAACCCTATTTCTGGACCTGGGTAGTTGCAGCCTTGGTCAGCCCACCAGCTCCCTGCCCCCCATTGTTATGACCAGGGTGAGCTGTCATTGCCCAGATAGTTGACCCCATGCAATGATGAGCAAGGGGCAAGACTGGTACTGCTTTCCTGCCCCCAGGGTCGGCTCTCCCACACCTACACCAGCAGGGCCAGTGCTGCCCAGGCAAGGTGCAGGGGCCACTCTTCTGAGTGCTGCAGCTGATGAGGGGCAAGGACAGCTCTCCAGCTCTTTGGTTTGTTTGTTTTTCTATTTTTTGCTCTTTGTTTTTAAATTAATATTATTTTATTTTTATTTTATTATTTCTTTTAAAAGTTTTCTTTTGGAGGGGTGCTACAAAGATGAAGGGCAGATATAGAAGGGTGGGAAAAGAGTGGGTTTGGGGTATATGATATGAAATTCCCAAAGAGTCAATAAAAAAAATATGTTTTTTTTTTTTTGAAAAAAAAATAAAAGGGAAGGAGTGTGAGTGCTGACTCAGGCCAGGAAGCAGATGGGAACAAAGACAGAGACCCAGAGCCAGACATAATGCCTAGAGTTAGAGACCTTGGAAAAATCAGTCCTAAGTCGGATGTCTTCAACAAATCCCTCCCCTTAGGGCATCCTGCATAAGAGGCAGAAAGAGTCTAAGAATTAGAGGGATGGAGGACATCAAGAAAAGAAAAAGGTCTTCTGTATCAAAAGGATCAAAGGTCATATGAACTCACAGAGACACTGACATTATAGCTTCCAGTTTGTTGTTTTCATATGATTCCTGAACTTCTTGGGCCTTCTTTGGGGTTCTTTTCCTTCTGTTGGTTTGTTTTGTCTAATTCCAAAGTGTCAGTTTTTGTTTTAGCTTACTATATTAATTTTATTTTATTACTATTCCACAGAGCCATTTTTTTTTAATGAGAGACAGAAATGGGGTATATCCAAAGAGAGGGGAGGTGGGAAGGAGTTTGGAGGAGTAAAGGGAGGGGAATCAGGATATATTGTATGAGAAAAACTATTTTCAATAAAAGGAAAATAATTAGTGCCCATTTAAGGGCTCACCAATCCTAAAGATAGAAGATTGAATAACACAAAACCACAAACTCACTGGGATTCAAGGGTAGAGCTCCTCCAAGTTTCCCAGGCCAGGAGTGGAAAGGGAAACCAGATACAGAAGGGAAGGGGGTGGAGAAGACAGAAGACTATTTCACGAGATAGGAGTAAAGTAGCTATGATTTTCAGCAGCAACCTTGGATTGGGAGAAATATATTTTCTTCAATGCCCTCATGAGGAAAATCATTTTTAACTTGGAATTCTGTCGCTGGCCAAACTTAGAATTTAATAGTTGGCCACAGTCTTGATCAAGTGTCAAAGGAAGATTCCATTTTCAGGGATACAAAGATCAAAGACACTCCTTCTCCTTGGTGTACTTCCATAGAAGAAAGGGATAAAGAAACAAGGGCCTGAGAAAGTGTCTGGGTAACTTATGCATCACAGCAATCCTGGATAAGCCCTTTCACTCCTGGCATGCATGCTTTCTTTGCTCTCCCTAAGCTCCAAATCTGTGAACCATGTCTTGTCTATTTTGAATTGAGTATAAAGAGCTTGTTTTACCATTTTATTTTATGTCAACTGGAGTTTTGCCTGAATATATGTCTGTGTACCATGCACATACCTGGTGCCTGCAGAGGCCAGAATAAGATAATTGGGACCCATGGAACTGGAGTTACAGACAGTTGTGAGCCACAGTGTGGATGCTGGGAACTGAAACCCAGATCATCTGGAAGAATAGCCATCTCTCCAGCCCCTCCCTTAATTTTAAATTTGTAAATTACATCTATTTGTGCACGTGTGTGAGAGACAGAGTGTGTGTGTGTGTGTGTGTGTGTGTGTGTGTGTGTGTGTGAGAGAGAGAGAGAGAGAGAGAGAGAGAGACAGAGAGAGAGAGA